AAACGGTTATTTCATATACGTAGTAAGGTTTCACAAAATAAAACGGAGCAAATAAAGTGTAATGATATTAATAAACACAGTATTCTTCCACCAAACAATGTAGCTCCTCAGAAACAGTTGTGGTTGCTACAAAGTGGTTGCCGAGCAACACACAAACGTAAACAAAGGTGTGTGTTACTTTGTAGCGTCATTTACAACAGCTTCGAACGCGGCTCAGCCAATCAGAGCCAAGCACCGGAACTCTCCGTTTTATAAAAATTATTTAATAATAATAATAATACCTTTCATACAATAGTATTATTATATGCTTTTATTTTAATATCTAGATGAACTAGAATGAAACGAAGCTAAATGTACAATTTTATTGGCATTTATGATCGTACGCTGTGAACTGTGATCCATTTGTGTGTGATTCGGATTGGATTTGAGTTTAGAGTCAGGTTTTGTGCACTTTGATCATAAACCCCTTAAAATGACACTTGATTTGATCCCTGATTAGTGGATGGTTGGCGTGTTATGACGAAGGGTTATGCAGATGCTCTGGTTTGTTTTCCTCCAGCATGACGCGAGACGCAGGATCCGAACCGGCCGTGGTGGAGGATGACGAGGATCTGGACGAGGAAGAGGAGCTTCTGGACAACGACCAGGATGGAGACGGAGACGAGGATGAGGATGAGGATGAGGAGCAGCGCCAGAGCATCAGCGTCGCCATGACGACCACCACCACGACGGAGTCGGTGGAGGAGGTGGTGCGAGGTGAGCGTCAGCCAATCACGTTGAGCATTCGCTCATCATCATCATCATCAGACGCAGCTCTTCACGTTAGGGGTGTGCGATATTGACAAAAAATCTCAATATTTTCTGGTATTTTATCAATAACGATAATTAGATTAGTGTGTTATTGTGCTGGTATCTTAAGGACTACCGTGGACAGCTGAATCCTACATTTTTTGATATTCTTACGGATAGTTCCGGTGCTTGATTCTGATTGGCTGAGCCGCGTTCGAAGCTGTTGTAAATGACGCTACAAAGTAACACACACCTTTGTTTACGTTTGTGTGTTGCTCGGCAACCACTTTGTAGCAACCACAACTGTTTCTGAGGAGCTACATTGTTTGGTGGAAGAATACTGTGTTTATTAATATCATTACACTTTATTTGCTCTGCTTTATTTTGTGAAACCTTACTACGTATATGGAATAACCGTTTTATAAAAGCTATAACCCCCGTGAAGCCGTGGTTTACAGTGAATTTACCTAACAATGCCCCTTAGCTGTTATACATTCACTGTAAACCTCTGCTTCACGGGGATTACTGCTTTATTACGATATTATCGCAGACGATATATATCGCACACCCCTACTTCACGTGTGTGTGTGTGTCGTCAGAGGTGTGTTTTGCGAGCGCAGAGACGGGCCCCTGCAGGGCCATGTTGGCCCGCTGGTATTTTGTGCGTGAGGAGGGCCGCTGCGCTCCCTTCATCTACGGCGGCTGCGGAGGAAACCGCAATAACTTTGAGTCGGAGGAGTACTGTCTGTCCGTCTGCAGCAGCGTCTGTAAGTCACCAACCGAACAACTGACAGCGTGAGCCACTAACACCAATGAACCTTCACTCACTCGCTCCTCATGACCGCCAGACCCATAATGCACTGCCTGAGCCACGTTCTTCAGCGAAACACACAAGACAGCGCTTAGCAGGATTTTCTGTTCATATGAGGCCAGCACTATGTCTTGGATCTTCTAATATTATGATACTTCTCCTGTGAAAAAACAGTGTGATGAATCAAATTAAATGTGCACTTGTAGTGTACTTCAAATCTGTTTTTAAGATAATCTGTGTCCCTGCAGCACAAAAGCAGTGTTAAGATTTTCAAATATTGTCCGATCCTAACAAACCACACATCAATGGAAAGATTATTTATTCAGCTTTCAGATGATGCATAAATCTCAATTTCGAGAAATTGATACTTAAGACTGGTTTTGTGCTCCGGGGTCACATATATTAATGAAATAAAAGACCACTTAAGTGTACTTACAGAGAGACACTTTCATGACTTATTTCCGACACAGAATAAAAAAAGACTAAAAAAAGTAATAGTTGTGAGATATAAACTCGCAATTTTAGAAGCAAAATCTGAATTTTATCTTTTGTAATGCACTTATTTTAACATACATACGCACAAAGTACTTGACTATCGTTTTAGCTGTCATGTGTTATTTGATATTACATTTAAAATTAATATTTTAAATGCACTAAACTGCAACTTCATCATTAGAAATGTGTAATTGCAAATATATTTGAATGAATACATGATATATACGTTTACCATATTTCAAACAATAGACGTAATTATGAAAGTGTACTTGAGTCCTGTGTACAATAAGTGCTTTAAAGTTCAGCTACAGTATTGAATTTAATAAAAAGGATAAATTTGCATTTAACTGCAATTTAAAGATGTCTGAAGACATCGCATTCAGTTCAAACTGAAGTGTATTATTTATGTAAAAGTACATCGAAGCGTGCTTCTTTTTCACAAGGTTTATGATACATTTATGGTGCTTATTTGTTAATGTTGGATCTTATAAGGAGCAGCGTGAACATCCTGCTAAACGTCTCCTTTTGTGTTCCTCTGAAGGAATAAAGTCACGGGGTTTGAAGGTCATTGAATGGATTGTTCTCCTTCAGTCTGATCTGATCTGATCTGGCGTGTGTCGGTTTCTCACCAGCGTTTCACTCTTTCTCTGCTGATTCACTCGCATCTTTCTCCTCAATGTAACTCCGATTCCGTGTGTGTGTGTGTGTGTGTGTGTCTCATTTGCATGCATAAAATCATTAATGCCATGCTGCTGCTGATCTTTTATATTAATGATCTTCCGTGTTTCTCTCTTCATGACTTTATCGGTCAAACGTTCCTTCCAGCTGCTATTTAGACTTTAATTAATGTTAAGCGGTTTCAATCGGGTCCTTTGATAACGTTCTGCATCAGCAAGCGTTTGAAAACTGTTCTTGCCAAGCATTTCAGGGTCATTACAGCTGGTTTCTGTTAACTGGTTTAAGATATGAATCATTTACAATTTAAGATTTAGGATAAATCGCTTTTATTCATTACAACTATTTGAAAATCTGGAATCTGAGGGTGCAAAAAAATCTAAATATTGAGAAAATCATCTTTAAAGTTGTTCAAATGAAGTTCTTAGCAATGCATATTACTAATCAAACATTAAGTTTTGATATATTTATGGTAGGACATTTACAAAATATAATAATAAAAGCTATAATAATAGTATCTCAGTGTTGCTAAAATAGCACTGGTTGAACTAAACAGACGTCATCTGGAGATTATCGTGTACATCCTCATGCTGCTGGAACTCAAAACAAACATTTGGCACAAAATGTTCCTGGCAGTGACAAGATGCCAGTGTTATATTTTCTCATCGCTTCATTACAGATTAGACATGAATAAACTGGTCAGCTGGAAGCCTTTGGCCTCTTCTAACCGCTTTATAACAATCTCTTGTAGCTCTGTTGAATCATCTGCTCTCCTCATGTGCTGTAATAAAAGCTCTTCTCCGATCCGCAGTGCCGACTCCCTCCTCCAGTCCTCCAGACGCTGTGGACCGATATCTGGAGACGCCAGCCGACGAGAACGAGCACACACACTTTCTGAAGGCCAAAGAGAGTCTGGAGGCCAAACACCGCGAGCGCATGTCTCAGGTGCAGGATTCATTCATAGAAATTCATGCTGCTGTTCATCAAGGATGTGTTAATGTTACAGTATGTTTGTTTTCTTTTGAACTTTCTATTCATCTGTGAATCCTGAAAAATAAAATGTGTCCCTGGAGCACAAAAGCAGTGTTAAGTCGCTGGGGGATATTTGTAGCAATAGCCAACAATACATTGTATGGGTCACAATTATACATTTCTCTTTTATGCCAAAAATCATTAGGATATTAAGTAAAGATCATGTTCCATGAAGATATTTAGTAAATGTCCTACCGTAAATATATCAAAACTTAATGTTTGATTAGTAATATGCATTGCTAAGAACTTCATTTGAACAACTTTAAAGATGATTTTCTCAATATTTAGATTTTTTTGCACCCTCAGATTCCAGATTTTCAAATATTGTCCGATCCTAACAAACCATACATCAATGGAAAGATTATTCATTCAGCTTTCAGATGATGTATACATCTCAATTTCGAAAAATTGACCCTTATGACGTTTTGCCGAAACGTAAACATTAACTGAAGTAAAATATACAAAAAACTCATTTTAATTTTAGTTTAAAGTAAAAAAAAAACTCACTTTAATTTTTCATTTAGTTTATTTTAGTTTTAGGTATTAAAATAATTAAAACTGAAATTAAAATTAATAATTATATTTTTATATACATTATTTATTAATTACTTACAAATTTAGAATTATTTATTCTGAATTTAAATTAGTAGCCAAGAAAGAATTTATGTATTTATGTGTGTACTAAAATGCCTAAAGCTAAAAATTAGATTTGTGTAAAACTACACAGATGTATTTACAAACAACAACTAATAAAAATGTCAAAAAAATATGCAATAAAATTGCTAAAACTTTAAATAAAGTAAACATGTAAGCAGAATCAAATTCAAAATATTAACAAAATCTATAACATCTGTATCTATAAATCTGTATCTCAGTGATACAAAAATTAAAAGAACAATAAATATAAAATTAAGTAAACAATTAAAAAAACAACGATTACAGCAAAATTACTAAAACTTTAATTTATATGTATATATATATATATATATATATATATATTAATAACTTAAAAAAATATATAAATATATAAAAATATATATAATTAAAAACTAAAACTAAAATAACCCTAATATACTGATTTCTGAAGATCATGTGACGCTGAAGACTGGAGTAATGATGCTGAAAATACAGCTGCGCATCACAGAAATACATTACAGTTTAACAGATACTCGCATAGAAAACAGCTGTTTTAAATTGTAATAATTCATATTTCACAATTTTTACTGTATTTTTGATCAAATAAATGCAGCCTTGTTGAGCAGAGAGACTTGTTTTAGTAACATTAAAAAATCGTATAATGTGTGTTTGAGATGTTTGTACAGAAATATGATGTTTAATTCAATTCAAGTTTATTTGTACAGCGCTTTTCACGATACAAATCATTGTTTCTACAATATTTAGTGGTAGCTTATCAGTGGTGACTGTCAGTTAATGTACAGTACATATGGCAGAAATCGATTAAAGACGTAATCAAACAGACGATGAACACTATTAACAGCAATTATTATATGATGCAATCAAACTTATAGCAACATGTGGTAGTTGTGTATGTTGTTTCAGGGTTGGCATCATCTCTTCTCAGGTGTTCTGGATCCAGACTGAAGCTTGTGTAAATCCTAGTTACCACGGGATGCCAATCCCAGCAGAAACAGAGAAACACATAGAGACATAATTAGCGTAGCCAGGCAAATTTTATTTATTTAACCCAAGCTAAAGAATAATAATGCGCATTTGATCAGATATAACTGCAGTGCAAGATTATGAGATGCATTATCTGAATGCTTGGCCAAAGAGATGTGTCTTTAATCTAGATTTAAACCGAGAGAGTGTGTCTGAACCCCGAACGTTATCAGGAAGGCTATTCCAGAGTTTGGGAGCCAAATGCTTTTGTTTAATCGTTGATGAAGGACCATTGTTGATTTTTGTAGGTGATGAGGGAATGGGAAGAGGCCGAGAGACAGGCAAAGAGTTTACCACGCAACGACAAGAAGGCCGTGATCCAGGTCAGTTTGTGTCATGGAAATTTCCCCTCGATCTTACTTTTCCTCGAGGCTTTGCTTGACTTCTCCTGCGTTTCTCCCACAGCATTTCCAGGAGAAGGTGGAGGCTCTGGAGCAGGAGGCAGCTAGCGAGCGACAGCAGCTGGTGGAGACGCACATGGCGCGGGTGGAGGCGCTGCTAAACGACCGCCGACGCCTCGCTCTGGAGAGCTATCTGTCTGCCCTGCAGGCCGATCCACCCCGGGTACACACTTCAACACACACATAAAGACTCATTCTTTACATAGGTCGCTCTTTTGTGATTAACTTTCTCAGTTGGTCGCACCAGCACTTGATTTGGGGGAACTTTTTGCTACTCTCTATTAGTGCTACTTGATCTTAGCTCTGCGTTCGACACTATTGACCACAACATTCTTCTGAATAGACTAGAATACTTTGTTGCCATTAATGGAAGTGCATTAGCATGGTTCAAATCATACTTATCTGACCACCAATTCATCAATTCGTAGCAGTGAATGAAGAGGTATCATATCGATCACAAGTGCAGTATGGAGTACCTCAAGGCTCAGTACTAGGGCCGTTACTTTTCACGCTTTACATGTTACCCCTGGGAGAAATCATCAGGAAACACGGTGTTAGCTTTCACTGTTATGCTGATGATACTCAGCTCTATATTTCTTCGCGGCCCAGCGAATCATACCAATTTGAAAAAACGAACGCATAGTCGAAGACAAAAAACAAACGAATGCATAGTCGATATAAAAAACTACATCTATACACCTTTCACTTTTTAAGACTAAAACAAATGTTTGAAAGATGGATTCATTGTTATTCTTAATTAAAATCACAACAACAATAAAACAGTAGGCTACAATGAAAAACTATCTTATATAACGTTTATTAACATAAACGAGGCAAAGACGAGGCATGGCATACGCCACATGCTGTATTATTTATCAACTATTAAATTACAGAAGGTTTAGCAAACACTGAGGAAACAAATAAATGTAAAAAATAAAAGAAAGCCTCCATAGCGTGAGTTAAACAGCTCTCTTCAATAATACGACCATGTCAAATTGTAACTCGCACATTTAGGTCACAGTCTAGAGCCCTGCTCCGTATTAACTACAGTCTAGATACTGAAAAACATGAGGATCTCACTAGCATGCCAAAGTTTGGAGCCGGTAGAATTTTTGAAAGCAGTCTCTTCTGCTGAGCAAGGCTGCGTTTATTTGATCAAAAATACAGTAAAAATTTTAAAATATTATTGCAATTTAAAATAACTATTTTCTGTGTGAGTACATTGTAAACTGTAATTTATGTCTGTGATCAAAGCTGAATTTTCAGCATCATTACTCCAGTCTTCAGCAGCTAAGTTTCCATCCAAAGTTACGAATTAAACTTTTGCGCAAAATTGGAATATTGCATAAAACATTTCCGAATAAAGCACCGTTTCCATCCAGTGCAAAAACCAATGCAAAGATTTCTAATAGTTGTATCTCAGCCAAATATTGTCCTGTCCTAACAAACCATACATCAGTGGAAAGCTTATTTATTCAACTTTCAGGTCACAATCATGACACACACAGAGAAGCTTCCCATCATGCACTGTGCTGATCTCAGATCTCTGATCTTCATCTCGTCTCTCTTTAGCCGCAGCACGTGTTCAGTCTGCTGAAGAAGTACGTCCGCGCCGAGCAGAAGGACCGACAGCACACGCTCAAACACTTCGAACACGTGCGCATGGTCGACCCCAAGAAAGCGGCGCAGATCCGGCCTCAGGTACGAGACATAATCATCTCATTCACAATAATTCATTTGCATTACAGTGTTGAACTTCTGCACTTGTGATTTGACTTTGATTTTAAATCAGTCACATGTTCCATTTTATGATGGCATGGTTCAAATCATACTTATCTGACCACCAATTCATCAATTCGTAGCAGTGAATGAAGAGGTATCATATCGATCACAAGTGCAGTATGGAGTACCTCAAGGCTCAGTACTAGGGCCGTTACTTTTCACGCTTTACATGTTACCCCTGGGAGAAATCATCAGGAAACACGGTGTTAGCTTTCACTGTTATGCTGATGATACTCAGCTCTATATTTCTTCGCGGCCCAGCGAATCATACCAATTTGAAAAAACGAACGCATAGTCGAAGACAAAAAACAAACGAATGCATAGTCGATATAAAAAACTACATCTATACACCTTTCACTTTTTAAGACTAAAACAAATGTTTGAAAGATGGATTCATTGTTATTCTTAATTAAAATCACAACAACAATAAAACAGTAGGCTACAATGAAAAACTATCTTATATAACGTTTATTAACATAAACGAGGCAAAGACGAGGCATGGCATACGCCACATGCTGTATTATTTATCAACTATTAAATTACAGAAGGTTTAGCAAACACTGAGGAAACAAATAAATGTAAAAAA